GGGTTTGAACCGCCAGCCGTCTGGTTAGCAGGCAAGTGACTTAGCCACTATGCTACCAGAGCTCCTTAGGCCTCTTCTTACCAGGCCTCTGAGCTGATTCCTCCTCTGCTCTCTTATGTACTCCTGACGTTTTTTCGGGCGCTCCAACCACTCATCGTGCTGTTTCTCCCAGTTCTCGGCCTTCCTCCACTTTCTGCGTTCTCCTGTATCGCCTCTAACTCGGGTTTTCTCCTCTGTCCAGAATTTCTTTCTGGGGCCCACAGAACCCTCCCCATCTCATCATCCCTTCCCCATCCCCGGTCTTTTTCCTGTTTCCCCCCATGTCCCTGTTCCCAATAAGCCTTTCTCTATTTTCTGACATCTCTTCCTATTGTCCATGATTTCCGTTGAGTTCTCTCTACCCCATGTTGCTTCCCTGACTCTTAGCCTTTTCCAGTCCTCCTTTCTTGCTCTGTTTCCTGGTCTCTTCCTTCCCACTACCTTGATTTGTCTCCTCTAGCTCTAACTGCTGCTAACCAATAACCCAGGGCCTGAACCTTCAACATATCCTTTGATCCCCATTCGCTTCCAGCTGTGTTCCTGCCTCTTTCTTTTGCCCTCTGTTCAACCCCTTTCTTTCTCTTATCCCTCTAAATAGTACTTCCCCCTCACCCCAAATCATGTTCTCTTCTCACCATTCATTGTTAGGTCTCTGGCTTATCTGCATGCTGACGGTCCCCTTTCTTTATCTTCTAGGACACCATGGACCCTCAGGGGTCTGCTCCTCAGCCTTTCCAGCAGCCTGAGAAACCTGGTCGTGTCCGCCGTCGGAAGACCAGAAGGGAACGTAACAGGGCCCTGGTAGGCAGCCGCAGGCCAACGGCCCATCGGGATCCTCCAGCAGTCAGTCGGGAGCCAACTGTGACCCGTCGGAAGCCACCCATGGCCCTCCGGAATACTATGGCCCCTGCTGCCCCCAAGCTCATGGTCATAACCCAGGGGCGACTGAGCCGGGAGCACTGGGGTCTCTTCAACCATGAGGTTAAATCACTGGATGTGGCGCGACTGCTTAATAGTAGGGACCTGGAGCCAGGTACCCCCCCACTTCCCACCAGGCCCTCCCCAAGCCTGGGCAGCATCCAAGAACCAGCCCCACAGTCAAGGGGCAAGGAGAACCAGTTTCCTGGAGGCTTAGGCCCAGGCCCACCCAGTCCCCTAGAGCTCCCTGGCTTGGATCAGCTGCTTCGGGAACTGCAGTGCCAGCTGATTCTGCCGCAGGCCTTCTCCAGGAGGAATCTGGTACAGGAGGCCAGGGACGCCATTGTGGGCACCTTACAGACCTGCCATGGCTGCGTGCCCGACCTTACCCTGGTGCTTCGGGGTTGCCAGCCACCCTTGCCAGGTGAGCCCACCCCTGCCCCCCGTGCTCCCCTTTGCCTTGTCTGCTCGCGTGCAGCTGTCTCCCATGCTTCTTTCCTCTGTGCCAGGAACCAAGCCCAGGGACCCTGAGAGACAGAGGATGACACCCTCTTGGATCAGCTGCATGGAGCAGGCCCCAGGAGAAGGCCAGCAGAGGAGGCGACAGGGGGCAAAGGAGCTCACGTTTGCCATGGCACACACCTCCAGCATTCCCACTGCACACAGGGCAAGCCTGGCACCGCCCAGGAGCCCCTGGCCCCCCTTACCTTCACCATCTGGGGCAGCCTGGGGTCCCCCCACAGCCTTTGACCTGCTGAAAAGCATCTGGCTGGTAGCCTCACCGCCTCCTCCTCGGCCCTGGGGGATTGGCCCACCGCAGCCCCTGCCTCAGCCACCATCTCCTTTGTTGACCAGAAGCTCAGCCCTAGACTGGAGCCCCAGTCCCCCTGCCCCGCTGCCCAGCCTCTCCTGGGTGGTAGCCCAGAGAAGCCCTGAGGCCTGGTCCTTTCCACCCATGAGACTGTACTGATGAGACTGAGACTAGGCTCAGGGCAGGAATCCCAAACTCTGAATCACCTCAATAAAATACCTTCCTTGTGGCCCTCTTGATTTTCATTGAGTGGCTCGAAGGAGCCAAGGGCCTAGGAGAAGCCTCTTTCCTCAGCTCTGAGTTTTGGGTCTAAGGTGGAGGAGAAAGGGCTGTCCCTTGCCACTTTTCCATGGGGCCACTGATGGGGGCACCTAGAGTTTCAGTCAGTTTGACACACATACACATTCAGTGCATCGGTGAGCCAGTCTCTGAACTCTGGCAATCCTGAGCCTCAGAGTGAGTCAAACTAAGACCCTGCCCTCATGAAACTTCCATCCAGTGGTGAGCACAGGCACCCAGTGGTTGTATCTGGGAGAGAGAGATGGGCAGGGCTGGTGCAGTCAGGGGGAGTGATGACTGTCTGCGTGATGAACGAGGTCTTCATAGACAAGTTAACACAGATGCTGTGTTTTTAAAGATTGGTGGAAACTTGCAAAGTAGAAGAGGAAAAGAACCTTTCGGGTAAGGGGGACAGTGTGAGTGAAGCCTGGAGGAGGGCAAATAGTGGATCTGGGACCATTCTGGTCTGACCCACAACCCTAGGCTATGCTGGGACCCGAGGAGCTCTTGTGGTACAATGGGTAAGGCTGACAACCAGAAGGTTGGAGGTTAACCCACCAGCTGCTCCATGGGAAGAAGATGAGGCAATATACTTCAGCCTTGGGAACCCTATGCAGGTCACTATGACTAGATGGCAGTGGGTGGATGCTGGGACCTAGAGTGAGTCATGTGTGGGCCCTACCCTTCCAGGGGGCTCCCTCCTATTTAGTAGCAGAGGGAACAGTGTGTGTGCAGGGTCAGAGCAGGAATGGAAAAGGGGCAAAATCCACAGACTGAATCTAGCCCATGAGGTGTGTTAAATTTTTCAATCAGTTGACAGTAAACAGTGAGCTGTTACAAATGTTTGCCCCTTGGCTTAGAGAGGGTTTTTTTTTTTTTTTTTTTTTTCATTTTGAGCAGAGCAAGTTGTCTGCAGTACAAGGAGAGGTATGAAGCTAGAGAAGTTTGTTGCAGTCTGATCAGGAAAATGAAGCTGAGGTGCTTGGCCTTTACTCGGTAGAAACTAGCCATGCTCCCCATTGCCCGCTGGAAAACAACAGGGTTCACAGGGCAGCAGCTGAAAGACTCCTTCTGTACTGGCATGAGGGACTGGGCCGGTAGATCACAGAATGAAGGCCAAGGTCATGGGGAGGAAGGGCAAGGCTGGGATTTGAACTTGGGCAATTTATTTCAGAACCCATGCTTCTAGGCATCTCACACCACCATCTATTTCACAGCATTTTGATGTCACACTCAGGTATAAGGGCCAGGAAAGGGTTAGGTAGTGGTGTGTGGTAGTTGTGGCTGAGGGCATTCTGCCACCTCTGTGCTGTGTGACCCAGAACAAGTGGCTTGCCCTCTCTGTGACTGTTTCTGTGGGGACCTCACAGGGTGCATCAGACCTGAAAGTGGACGTTTAGGGATGGGCACAGACTGGAGGTAGCTGTCGTGGGGCTAAGGTGAGCAATCCAAGAGCTGTTCAGTAGCTACACTAGGGGGAGGGGAGGACAGAACTCGAGTCTGTGGGTTTGTGGATGTGGTTAGGGGAGGTATGGCGAGTTCAGTTTAGGACATGGGAAGATGACACTAGGGGAAGAGAGGACTGGGACTAAGGGTGACAAAGACAGGGAAAGGGACATCCCCTCCCGCAGAAAGAGAGAAAGGGCCAGGCCAGCCCATCCCGGAGGAGGGGGCGGGGAGCGCGGCGGCGGGCGG